AGCATTTTGCGCAGACGACGTCGTTTACGCCACTGGTCACAGCACACACAAATGAAGATGATCGCCATCAACACGAGAAAACCACCCAACGAGCCGGCGATGATCTCACGCGAGTAACCTGAAAATAGCTTCAATACTCATAATTACCTCCGAACTAGCGCACTGAAATCATGTTCAGTCTGAACGCGGGTGTTTTTTCTAGCAGGTGCTAATGGGGACCAAATACGGAGCAGGGGGGTCAACTGATCTTGCACCGAAGAGAGAAAGAAGAGACCTTGTTTTAGAAAATTGTTTGAATTCCTCATTTTCCTGGGTGATGGACGAGGCTGCGAAGCGGAAAAGTCTGCGGGACACTGTGTTCCGAGACGGGTAGACTGGCTTGAGGTCGAGAAAGCATGGCGGACGAGCGAGACGCAGACTACGACGCATTCCCCACCGTCGAGCGTTGCTGCATGGGTCCTACGCAAGGTCAACCGTGTGTTGCGTAGTTCTCTCAGTGAGGGGAGGGGCGTATTTGAGTTTTCTGTAGGTGATCGTATTGGTGTAGGTAAAGGTCAAAAGGTTCGAAGGAGTCGTGGTGGCAGTAGAGGGGGTCCTTTAAGACGCTTTTTTCTCGAAATTTCAAAAAAATAAGCACGAATTCAATTATTAGGTGTAACTATGTTAGTCAGATATGAGATTTGCCATTTCTTGTGGGCAAATTCCCCCCCCCCCGCCACTCGTCGCGACCACATTGGAAGAAGAAGGGGCGGAGTTGTTGGGCTGCTGTGTCGACTGGTCTCAGGTACAAATAATATAGAAACAGCCGTGAGGGTCGAGTAGCGCTCTGGATGGGGAAGGAGGTCGTATGTGAGGAATTTCTATGGCTATGGCGGTGGGCGCAGGGAGGGGGTGAGAGGGTGGGAGGAACGTATCGGGATTTCGTCCCCATGGCTTATCGCGGTGGTAGTGGATCGTATCGAGCCCCCCATCTAAGGAGGTGCGGTACGCTAAATTTTTTGAATAGGGAAGCGGATGGTTGGTCGCTTATCTACAGCGCGTTTTGATTCACGATTTTGGCATACCGCTACAATTGCGGACCTAGCAACCTTGTTCATTGGAAGGATTGCTTAAACGACCTAACGTTTCAGAAGCAAATGGAAAGGGCCAAAGCTTTAATGAACGGAGATTTTCTCATATCTCGAGAAGTTTCTAAAACTTCGTATTTTCCCATACATTGGAGTTCGATACATCCTTTCACCGCATCCCCCCCCCCTTTCACCTCGCTGCCGCACGACGCTATATTTTCCAACGAAGATTGTCCTTGCTTCAGGACCAGAGCCGAACTGAGCTCCAGTGCTTAGCGCATAGATTCATATGTATAAGTAAAATAGTTATATTATAGTAAATATAGGTTTATACAAAATGAAATCAAGCAATGGTCACTACAGTGTTGTTCGTCGCTATCATCACCTTCGACGCAGTTTTGCACACCGTTACACACAAGCGAAGAATGGATGCACAATTGTGGTCGCATCGCGCATACACCTTGATCCTGAAAAAAATTAAAGATCTGGGTCAAACTCTAAATTTAACAGTCCCATTCGAGGTTAATCAGGGGGGCACTGGAGGTGCAGAGACTCCGAGGCGCTCAAATCGCGGCAAACATTTATGTATCATTCCGAATTTTTCAGGCTAGAACTTAGAGAATCCGGAGCAAGGTAAACGCGCGCTTGTTTTTCCAAAATTTTTGACCCTTCCCTTTAAGATCTTGATTCGACCCTTGCCATTAACTCATTTACCTCACGCTTCCTCAATACACCCCCTCCCCTACTGGTGAATCCGTTATCACCAGCGTTCTCTCCCCTCTTTCTCCTTCACAACAACGTCGAGTGGGGGGGGGGGTGGAACAAACATCAGGAAACCCTGAAATAGATACGATCCCATTAGACACTTTTCCACACATGGTTATCCTTCTCAAATCCTAATGCAATCCCCTACTCGTAAAATCGCAACATACGAGCTCCTCGTTCGAATGTGCGAAACGACGCTTGACACTGCCAAGGTGCTAAGCATCTTCAAGGTTCTCCGAGGGTTTGATGCCACTTCTAGGTTCAGTTATCGTTGCGCTATTGCACCTGTGCAAAGTATATTGAACTTTTTATCGTTAATTTTCCGTCAAATGTTACAACGTAAAAAAAAAACTCAGAAAAATGGCACAGGGAAAAGTCTATACCACACACCAAATACCCCTTATTATTTGAATAGACTTCCACTTGTCCTACACTCCCGTTCATTCAATATTGGATATGTCTGACCTGTTCCACGCATATTTGTCCTCCTTGGCAAGTGAACTGTGTGCAGGTGTCGAATTGATGAGCTCTGCGGTGCTGTTCAGATGATGAGAGAGCGGTTGTGGGATTCAGCTCATCGAAAAGGCCCTCGACAGCCGTCCAAATCAGCTGCAAGTAGTTATTGCAGAACAAATTCAATGGACGAATGCTGGGTTGGCCTACCTTGAATCCGACTCGTTGGCCAATAACCGATGACGATGGTCGATCTTTGGTGTTCAGCCTGGAATTTATAGAAATCCATTGGCGAATCTTAAACCATATTTGCATCAGAGCTGTCTAAGAACACTAGCCAGAAACAGCATGTTTGAAATAAATTGTCAAATAACTTTGAATAATAAAAATCACCCCAAAAATATTTTGCACAAGTCTCTCTCTCATATATCAGTTTAACTGTTAGGTACCACCCGCTACTCATTGTTGTGACTATAACTAACTAGGACTGCTGTCCTCCATAATATTTGAATTATGCCTTGTACACCTATGCGCGTCCACTGGACGTATGAATAAGTAAACAAGTAAACAAATAAATAAATAAGCGTAGCAATAGTTGTAGGTGCTTCCCCCGTTTTTCAAATACTCCATTTCGTTCCAGTTCCACTGCTGGGTGAAGCGGATGAACTTCGGCTGAGTGCTAGTCCATCATTTCGTTTTGACATTCAGTAAGCTGCCAAAAGCGCAATGGATTTGGGCACAGCCTTTCCTTCTTCTAGCCCAATACATCATCAACGCTTTGCTCGAATGGCATCGAACGAAAAAAATCGCTGGAGGAAAGAAAATTCTTTGTTATCGATTCACTTAGTTTCGAAAAAACATCACACCATGTTGTAAGGTAGCGAAAACCACTTGGCACTATTTTCAGGGGGCGTGAACTGAAAACTCTTAGGACAAACGGGTATATAGCAAAACTGAACAGAGAGGGCAACGGGATGAATCTATCGGCGTTGGTCCCAAGATCCACACATCGCAAGCGAATTCATATCGAAGGAATCACAGGCAAGGAGTGCATTCGCATAAATAACAATATTTTTCAAAGGATTCAAAGGTACGGGTGTTATCTTGTTTGAAAATAAGGCAAAAAGTGCGAAGACAAAGTTAGTGGGAAAAAAGCAAAAAGCACCATAGAAAACACTGAAATTTTTTGTGAGTCGGCCGTGGTATGACGGAGAGACACAGCGCTGCGAGGAGAGGGAAAACGCGAGAGAGTACGTCGTACGCGAGAGGGCGCAGACACCACGTATGCCGCGATTGATAAGGATGGCAGCGGTCGCAGCGGTCGCAGCGGTAAGCGAAGGCATTAGCTCCTTTGTCAGGCCTTTCATGTGGCGAAAGTGCCGTCCACTCCTGTGATTGAGGGTCCTGCTACTCCAAACAAGGCGGGGATTCTTTTAACAATAAGGATCTAATCGTGACCCGCACCTTTCAGAACCGGAGTCGTAGCGGCATTTGGATATTTACTGATGCTATCGCAATACGTCCACTATCCACTTGCTCTCATCTTGCAATGTTCCCTTGAGCCTTTGTCATCCCAGAAAACATCCCTCTACGAAACTGATACGCATGCATGGCGCATCTCGAAAATCATTTCCTCGGCACAACCATGATGCAATGGCTTCAACTTAGGCAATTCGGTCAATTCCTTAGATCTAGCGTTTCTGTTCTGCACGCGTGCTATCTATGTGCCACCGTCGTGCCATCGTCTTCCTGCTGCCAAGTTTTCTGTCGTCCGGGACCAACCCGATTAAGCAGCTTCCAAGCAAACTTAGCGCTCTCCAATTTAGCCGAGTGCCTCTTCCACGCAAATTATCAGGAAATTGCAATCCAACGAGGCAAGATGGAACGAGTTGTTGGTCGCGCTTCTAAGACAAACATCTGTGTCAGCTAGTCAGCACAGTCAATGACAGGAAGCTCTGCGCAGATGAGACCAACATTCAGCCTGAATTTCCATTTAGAGGAAATTTGTGTACAATAGTACATTGAAGCATACTCAAACAAGAACGTCTCATGGTCTAAAGGTCAAATCTCGGGTAGAAATATGTACAGGTCAACCGAGTCTTCCATACCCTGGAGTCGATAACTGGCGCCAGGATTATCTCGAAGGATAAAAACACCACATTGTACACTGGTATGCAAAACTTAGGGACGAACGTAAATTTTCCGTGATGTGTTACTGCCGAATAGCACAGCTTCAGGGAGCGTACCCGTGCAAAGAATGAACTACTACAGTACAGTAGAAAAGGCAAATACCAGGAGTCATTTTGAGGCCCAAAGAATTGTTAATGAGTTATGTACTTCATCTATCTCGTCCTTGCGTCCCACAGACCAGCGCACAACCGTCAATGGCCCTTGCAAGCCAATGTAATAGGCCATATCACATTCAAAATGCCTTAAGTGCGACTTTGGAAGTCAGCGGCAATGCAGTGCGCCATCCGCGAAAAAATTGGTTGGCCGAGGCCGCATCTTCTTTTCGCTGAACAGGCCTGGACGGCGCAAATGGACATCCGGGGGGGGGGAGGCGAAGGCAGTCGCCGCGCGCGCTCAGGAGCGGAAGTAGATAAATCTCGAACATTCAGCTTCTCTGACAAAGACGTCCCCTCATTACACAATAATAGGTTGACCTGCACCTCACCTCCTTGAATTGGCTACATTCCCCCGGTCACGAATTTCCTGTTGCCTGCAGCTGCGCCGCTGCGCACGCGACTGCCAGGCCCTCCCTCTCGCGGCCGCATGCGATCCTGGACGCAAAGTTCTGATAAAACCTTCCAATGAATGCGCCGTTATTGTTACTCATAAATCCCCTTGGCGCACATGACGTATCTTCAAAGAATAGGTGCATGTGAATAACGTAGAAGGAAAATCGCTCTGTAATGACCATGGCGTACTGGATATAGCGACGAGAGCGAAAGTATGCGCTGAGAGTCAAGACGGCTCAGCGCTCCGGCAGAGTCGAAATTCCACAGTGAGAGCGCCGACCGAGCGCGAACTAAGCGGAAGTCCCGACGTCTAAGACGCTGACAAATTCTCTTGACGATTTGATCATTCTCGAGGTGACGTTCCAAAATTGCGAGGCGGTGACTCAGCGTTAGAGTTGGACGCTTCGAGAAGAAGGTGTGGTCCCATGTAGGTACCTTATAAAAATGCGAATCTCTTCTTTTTAAGGTTCGAATACAGATAACTCTTCTGATCATACATTATTGATCATCAGTAAAGGTTATTTGGCATGTGAGAGCGTGAAAAAAAGAATCTCGATAGCTTTTGATGGCGCAGTAGGGCAAACGGCCAGAAAACCCGCAGCAATAATGTTGTCGTGTTGTGTACCGCAACAATTGCTGGCGATTGATTAACAGTGATTCACCGTACTATAATAAAGCTCGAATTGCCTTAGACGAATAAATAGCTCTTCATGCCCCATCTTGCGTGTACGTAAAGGTTGACTTTCGTACATAAACCTGTGCTTCAGACTTATTCCATCAAGACATATCGCATTAAATAATGACCTAATTTTTAATTTTAATGTTAATGAAAAATGAACAGAAAAACGAAAGAAGGTACGGGAACAAAGCCTTTGTCACCGTTCGCAGGCGGCATGAGGATAACTCGTACTATTTAATTTGTGTAAATCGCTATCAAATAGTCTAGCTCCGTTGGTATGTGGCCAAATTCGTTACATGGAAAGCGCAGTGCCAGGCGATGTTGAACGCACCGGCCGCCAAAGCCTTACTGCATTCCACTGTGATGTTACCGCCTCGCCGGTGAGCCCTGTGCACGTAAACCATAAAAGGAAAAAAAGGATAAAGCATTTGCCGTTGATCAATCCCTTTTTGGGATGCGGCACGCATTCTACTTCCATTTGTACATTCGCAGTGGCATTTGAATGCGATGTGGCCTATACAATGACTTGCGGGGGCCAGCCGATGTTCAAGTCAGTGTTTTTATCCTCCCAGACAAGTCTGGTACCAATTAACCGACCCCGGAGGGATGGAAGGCTTGGTTGGCCCGGGCGACTCACGACCCAGGAATTGATCCCGGACCGCTCGCGTGGTGAGCGCGCCACTTGCCACTGCACCACTTCGCCACAAGTAATCGCGGTAAAACTTTACCACTTCAGTCTAGGGTAAATTCGATCCGATTGCGTCCATTTTGTAAAAAGTTATTTTCTTTATATCTCCTTCTGTTCCTCTCTTAGATTGGTACGAATACAAACTCTTCCGCCACGCTCAGCAAAGTTAAGGGAGTCATCCGCACGATTATTACTATCCCCCTCCCATTCCCGACCAATCACCCGCGCCATCACTGCTGTTTCTCGCAGTATTTATTTTGATAGCCTTAACACGTACGTGCACTTGAAGTAATGTCCCCTTCCTAAAAAAAGTTTCAGTTCCCTTCCCATACAAAACCTCATTCTAATATGACCCTCTCAACCTCTCATTTTTGTCCATACCCCAAACATCTCCCCCCCCTCTCATGCTGTTGTGCTGGGGTGGCTCAAAAACTCTCACCGTCTCTTCGTTGAGACTAGAAAGACGCCTACCTTCCTAATGGATTTCCATCATGCTTATAACCCGTCGTATAATAAAAATGATGTCACGTTTTCGCTATGTTCGGTGTCTGATACAAGAGTTGGACACAAAAACGTTAACGAGTAAAATAGCAATAAAACAGGTTGTGTAAAAAGAAGGAGGAACTCGGATTAAAATTGGGGTAAACAGAAAAACGCACAATTGCAGCATATTACATACCCATAGTTAGGGTAAATGGGTCATAAATTTTTGTTCCGAGTTGAGTAACATTCACATAGGAGGCCTATCCGACGTCCTGATCAAAAGGGAATATGATATCATTGTTGGCTGCGGCGCGCGAAAGTCCGCGTCTTACTTGGCGCCCAGGCTGCGCCACGAAAACTGATTTTCACCAAATTCCCTGTAAACTTTAAACTTCGCGGTAAAATTCGAGGTAAATGTGTTCAGATTTACGAATATCATTATTCGTTTTTGTTTGTTGGCGCTATTCGGCGCCTATTTTCCTGCTCGTCTGCGCCCTCGCACTAATTAGATCGCAATCAGGACTAAGCCTTTGAATAGTGGAGGGCTCCAAAGTGAGTAGGCCACTCCCCTGTGGTCTAACACACTCCAACTTTTGCCACACGGTGCGTGGTTTACCCACTCCGGAGTTTCACTCCCCTCCCCTAAGCTTAGTCC